GTGTGGGATGTGGGGCTGTTTAGTTCAATTTCTATTAAAAAAAGGAAAAGGAAAAGTATTTAAAATTAATTTTCATGTATTTTTATAAAAAATTATAGGAAAAATTTAGAAAATTTTAAAAAGTGATATTTTTCTATTTTTTTACTCTTTCTTTGTTTGATTCAAAATACAAAAAAGAGGAAAAATCATCTTTATAGAAAATGAGTTGAGAAGTGGAAATAGATAAGTTTTTACAAAAACTATTATTTATATCAATGCGTCAAATTTCTCATAAATTTCCTCTCAGTTTGAGAGGAATTTAATTTCTATAAAGTGTAGTATTTTCCCTACTTTATAAAAAATATTTCTATAAATTTTTTGAACCAAACATAGTTTATAGAAAACTACAGAAAACTTTTAATTACAAAATTATCATTGTAATGTTTTTTTCCTAAAACTTTTCTACAAAATGGGTTATAACCAAACACCCCCCTAAAATTCGAAAGGTCTTAAAAATTCATTCTGATTTTTTTATATTTTCTCAAATATTAAATTTTCATCAAATAAGTTATTGCGTTTGTTCATAATTCTTGCATCTCTCTCTTAAAAATATAAATCACGCGACATCATATGATTTTGTGTTGTTTTTTTAACTGATACGCCATTAATTATAATTCAAAAATATATTTATATATTTGTGTGTATTGATTTAATCGTCACTAATTATTATGATTTTGTATGTATTACGAATGATTCAAACAGTTGGGAGGTTTTGACATGATTTTCACAGTCTTTAATTCAATTCCGAACGCTATATGATATCTAACCTGTTTTTCTACGAAGAAACAAGATATTCTCAAAAATAAATGATCAATCGTTGAATTTGTTAGGTAAAATCATAAATTTGATGAATTATTTTGCAACGTAAGACAATCAACGAAATTGGATAATTGTTTGATTAACCAACTGATTTATCGTGCAACAGTGGAGTCGTTGATCAACGCAACTGCCCACGCTACCTCGAAAACCACTGACATCACTAACCATCAGCATCACTTAATTCTCATAAATTCGTGGGGACTACAAATGCAACTGAAGTACACAGAAACTATACTTATAATTAAAAAAGAAATCAACACATGGATAACTTCTCAACATATCTTCATTTGTCCAGTTGTCCTGCACAAGTATTAAAATCAACAGATATTTTCCCAAACCTTTAACAAACAGCTGGCAATCTAATAAACACTAGCTGCTCAAATTCATCAAGCACCTCTAGACCCGCAACAAACAGAAAAAACCCACATATGTATTCATACTCCCAATGAATTCACATTCCAGTGACATGAGATACAATGATTTGCAAACGTAAAGCTAATCTAAAATCCCCCAGAATCAAGAGGCAGAGCTATATAAACAGCGGGGAATTGATTATTATCACATACAATCATGAAACTTCAATGCCCAAATTATTAAAGAGGTAACACTCTCTAAAGGGCTCAGAGCAGAAATAAAGAATTATCTGGTTCTTACAGCAATATGCCGGAAATGAGACATATTTTGTCTGCTGAATGACGACAGTTAAAATGGAATTACAAGATATAAGATCATGCTTTTACTATCCCTGAGAACCATCTCACTCTTCACTAAGAACAGGAACAATTAGCGGCCTCATCTGCGCGAGATATACAATTGCCCACCTACAAATGATACAGGAACAAAGGCGAATCAGTTAATGAGTGTGACATAAAAACAGCAGAACTGGTATTGAGAGAATACATGATTTAAAACATTGCAAGACCTAATTGAAGGCTAAATTCCCGATAATCCCCTTCCCTGCTTGGGAAGAGAAGGATAGTAAGGTAACTAAGGGCTTTATTTGTTTCCATATTTTACGTGTTATGTTCCTAAACTTTTCCGGTAATCGAACAAACATAAATTGCTAAACAAAAGAAGGCCTTTTGATATAAGTAAAAGAGTATGTCAGCTAATCTAGTGTGACCACCACATGAAGATCTACAAATAGCAGTCACACTTTATGTATTACTTGATTTCCAGTCACACTTTATGTATTACTTGATTTCCAGTCACACTTGAACCATACATCATGCTTGCAGAATTATGGGCAAACGAGTGATATTGCACTATCTTGCACTGATAAAGGGTTCGTAACCATTTTTGTCATACAAGAATCCCTCTAATTCAAAGACAATACTATATAACTTTGTTGAATACAGGAAATGAAGACTTGATATTGAGGCTTAAGGGACAGGTTCTGATCATTCCTGGATGAAAGAAGATGCGGGGTTTATTCTAAAACTTAAAACGTCCGATCGTGCTGATCTAACTTCCAAATTGCAGCACAGGATATTAGGGATATTAGGGATATTAGGGATGAACTGGAACTGGGAAAAAAAATCAATTTTTTAGACCTAACCATGATGTAGACCAGTTCAGGCTGGGAGCTAAGCAAAAAAGCAGAATCTATACTAAGTTTAGAAACAATACTGTAAGAGTAACATTATTCTTACTCCATGATGAAGACTGTGCCAAATATTGCATAAGGTCCATGTAAAATACATCATTGCATATTGATCCCTTTGAACTTGGTACTTTCATAATAGTCATGACTAAGTTTTAACTCGTTGCATAAGCATCCCCTAGCCAATGTGAACTATATAACATGTGAGCTCTGACCTCCTATGTGAAGCATCACTTTTGACCTTTCAATGGTTTTTCAGAAGTTCGGATGAAACTGAAAGTATGAATTTCATATTTCAAGAACTGAATTTATTCCTTTCCCATCCCCCAAATCCATCTTCAAACACTGAATTGTTTCCAGATTCAATCTCTTGGTTGATTAGGTGTCAACCTATGACACCTAGGTACTTCTACCTTAAGCCGTACCCGTACCCGACACATACGTGCACACGTACGCGCTCTGACACTTGAACACTCCTTGAAAACATGCATACATTTATCCGCGTGTGTACCCAATTAATTAATACATATTTTAATTTAAAATGCTCATCATATATAATCTATGTATAGAAAAACATGAAAAATGTCATAGGAATTATAATTCCCATAACAAGTGAATAAAAAATAATATCGATCTCATGTAAATTATTAATTTTAATATATATTTGTGTCCCCATACTCTACATTTTACAAAGTTTCTGTGTTCCCTCCGTACCCATTTCGATGGAGCATAGGTGTCAGCTAAGATGACTCTCCCATGATTGCCAATGTTATCTTTGCTTAGCCATCTTGTAGCCTAATTTTCAACTGAAAAGGGACAGCTTGTTTTGGTGAACAAATCAAGTACACTAGCATGCAATTGTTGGATGTATACCTTATATTCTAGCTTCCAGTCCTATGTTTAGTCATGATACAAAATGGTTCCAGAATATGCAAGAAAAGTAGCTATGCGAAATTTATCATATTAGACTGACACATCTGTGGTCACTTTTATGTCCAATATTTAGGAAGTAGGATTAGTGTTAGAGTAGGTTAATTCATTCCAGTCATAAAATCATTTAGAAATATATTTAAATGAGATGGAGATAAAAGAAACAATCAAGAGAACTCAATCCAGATTCAAGTAAGTGGCCTTGCACTCAATCGAGGGCAAAAAGAATTTAAGCGAAGTACTAGGAGATATATACATGATATGTGAGGAAATATGGGTTTCTTTTTTGTACGGGTTTCTTTCTTTCTTCTTCTTCTTCTTCTTCTTCTTTTTTTTTTTTTTACTTTTCCCCATGTTCCAGTTTGATTAATACTCAGTTGCTGAAACTAAGTCACAAAGTGAAGCAAGTTGAGTTTGGTCTTAATATATCTAGATTTAACAGGATATGGTAAATTATACAATTACTGGAACAAGAATCAAGAATGTTATAACAAAGAGGAAAAGGAAAAATGAATGGGACTTTTTTACTTTCAAGCAAAACTGGTATACACCAAGTTTCCTTGCATAAGCAGTGAGTCAGTGACAATATCAGCCAAACCCTTTAACAAAAGATGAAAATCAGTCTACAAATTAATGAACTATCACTCCTGAACCTCCAGAAATAGGTCAACAAATTCAAGCGTCCATATAAGCACATGAATGCAAACTAGTTAGAGTGTACAACCATTGAAGTGAAAAAGACAGTTCATATATAAGAAAGTAGATCTGCATACTTCTATGTGCAAATATTTCCCAAAAATATGTTTTGGAAGACAAGCAAATACAGTACTGACTGATGCAGTATACAGGAAATTCTGCTTTGCGCTTCATTAGAAACGAGAGAGGAACTAAAAGTGCTAAACATGGTCATCCATTATAGAAATCAAACAGTAGGAGTACAGAACTTACATCATCCAACAACAAATAGTTGCTGTGATCAACAATGTCAGATGGAACCTGCAATTAATAAAATATAATCAATCATTTTCCAGTGAAGAGGTACACTTATATTAAGAAATTATAACTGGAATATGACAAGTGAAAATATTTGAACATGGAAGATTTTGAGTGCATGTTCACTAATAATCAAGATGTCAAAGTAAGTGAAAATGAACAATAGTTGATGAATTTCAGGTTCTCATTCATTTAAAAAAGAATCATAAAAAATGTGGATCAATCTTAGTTGTTGGACGTGAATTGTCTAGTAAGTGTTAGATCAGTAGTTAAACTTTGATGTAGGGTTCCCTTCATCTTTTTAGTACTATCAAAATCAAAAGATATACAACTAATTAGATGTTATTGAATTTGATACAACTTAATCTTATAGGAGACTCTTTAATAAGTCTTGCTACCAATCTCTAAGATATACAATTAATTAGATGTTATTGAATTTGATACAACTTAATCTTATAGGAGACTCTTTAATAAGTCTTGCTACCAATCTCTGTACTTCGCAGTTAAAACATCCCACGTATAATGTGATTTCATTCTTTTGGGTGGGTGGCCAATGGTGCTTTCTTTGTGAGGTGTATGTTCATAGGGGGTTTCAGTTCCCTTTTGACTACAACAGTAGTGGAGAGCTAGACTGTCACAGGCTCTGCTGCTTGGCTTCATAACATGCAGCTTGGTTTCACTTCTATAAGCCAACCACCGTAATTTGCAACTGAACAGCTACAAGGTACTGATTGGCTTAAAATTCCCTTGCTCAGCTTAAGTTTAAAAACAAGATGACAAGATTGAGGACTCAAAAAGCAACGAACATGCTTGGTGCATTCTACCAACATCACCTTAGTGGATATAGGAAAACTGTGAGAGAACCCTTTATGGAGTGAACCCAAACAGTGTCTCAATAATAGAATGAGAATTTTATGTGAATATAGATGCATAATTCAGTCTCCGATTCTCTCTACTCCCATTAAGTTAAGCATTTAAGCATTTTGCATTAGACAAATGTGAAGAAATGCTAACTAAAATGTGAAACGCTACTCCGTTACCCTGTTGCTACACCACAAGGGATCTAATTCAAATAACCTTCTAGATTGATATTACTGATTCTAACTATTAGAAATCGCCGCATAGACAGAAACGATACCTCATTTCTCTGATACCGACTCAACTTATCTTAATAGACGCTTGCTCAACATATGTAACCTCATCAAACTAGGCCATACAATAAATGTTCCTGCTAAAATGGTCCACAAATCTTTAAACTAAAATAATGGACTAATGAGCTCATTTTCTTTAAATCCCAATACTTAATCTACAATGTGAAGTAAAAGAAGTGTCGGTGTCGTGATCTTGGCAGATCTAGGTCAATAAGTTCGAATTTAACTAGAGACGCGAACTTTCCGCAAATCGATCATAAAATCTCCATCAGCATACAAATAGTACCTTAATCACTAAGAATTATAGAAAATTTGAAGTGTAGAGAGAGGGAAAGTTACAGATTCGTTGAAGAGCCGCGGTTGCAGCAGAGGAGAGCAGAGAGGCAGGCGACGACGCCAGCGAGGACGAAGATGAGGGTCGTCACCCAGAATCCCATGGCCGATCTATCTATCGATCGATCAAAAGTTTTTCCCCCCTCCCCTTTTCTTTTTGTGCCCTAGGGTTTGGGGAAAGGAGGAAGCGATTCGAGATCGGAGAGAGGGGAGATTCGGGGACGTGTACGAAGTTTTTTCGTCTCTGATCGACTCTCTTTTGAGTATGGGGGTTGGGTTGGTTTTTAACCTCTTTGACCCTGAAAATTTTAGTTATATGTAGATTGTAGACCATCACGATAATTCAATGGTATTTCTTTAAACAAGTAGTTGAGATGCACGTGCAATGCGCACACAGTTAAGTATTGTAATTATTTTATTTAAATTAATAAAAGTAGAATAAAAATAAAAAGAAAATAAAGTTTTTTGTGGGATTAATAGAAGTAAAAGTACCAAGCCGAAATAAAACTGCAAATTATAAACACCTTAAAAATATTACAAAGAAGCAGTTGAAGAGCAACACTTGTACTTGAATAATTGATTAACTTTTACTTTTTTTGAAAAATATTATAAAGAATAATATCATCAAGGTATGGTTCATCATTCTCCATATCATAGAAGTAAAATTGAAAGCATGAGAAATTATTTTCTTGCGGAATTAGAGCAGTGAGGTTTTCATATATTTCGTCGTGTACTCTAAATATAATTTTTTTTTTCTTTGATGCAAGATCCCTATCATATCTTAGCCCAAACGATATAAATAAAAAATGCTATTATAATTCACTTTACTAGGAAATTATATTGTATATAGGACATATAACTCATCTGGAATATCCACATATGTCAAGTGGATTTTGTTGTTGTGAGAGAAAATTGTTAGAAGCTCGTATTCAAACTTTTGGCTCTATAAAAGACGCAAGAATTTAGAGTGCATAGCTTATATATTGTAAAGAACATATTGGATCATGAAGAATTTTCCATGATAACTATATTATTACAACGATACTACTATTCAGTATTAAATCAATTTTATAATATAAGATTATATGACCCTTTTTAATAAATTATATATCATACTCCCTTTAAAAGCACGAGTTCAGGAAAATGTTTCAATGGTCAATATTATCCTTCGCTATTTTGAATATTTCATTTATATCTTAATACATCCTATTCTAATCCTACGTGAATTATCTATAGCTTAACAATTTAAAAAGTAATATTAATAAAATATATAAAATATTTTTATGGTATTAGTCTGTTAAGATAAAGAAATTATACGTAGCTCACACACTATAATACATGAAATATTGCAAAAAAACCCTAAAAAGTTTTAAAATTACACAAAATATATTGAAAAGTTTAAAATTATAAAAATCATCACAATGTCTCAAAACTTAGAATAACAAACATGAAATTAAGAAATTAACGACAGTTTACGAAGAATTTAAAATTTGCAGTTAGCACCTCAATGTCTCAAAAATTATAGGAACACTCTCAAAAGTTCACAAACAAGCACCATGAAATTCTAAAATTTCATAACTTGTAAAGAACATAGATGAATTTAAGGGATTACCATGGTGCACCCAAAAATTTCTAACATTTCAAAACTTAAAGCAACAAACATGAAATTAATAAATTAATAGCAGTCTCTGAAAATTATAAAATTTTTACTTAACACCTCAATATCTTAAAATTTATGGAAACAACCTCAAAAGTTTAAATTATAAAAAATCACCCTAAAATTCTAAAATTTAAAAATTTGCAAATAATAAAAGATGAATATAAGATATTACCCTCAGACACCTAAAAATTTAAAATTTATCAAAATTAACCCTAAAGTTACAATAATTGTAAAAAAACTCCTTCAAATTTTAAAAATAATAAAAAAACTCTAAATTTTCAAAAAATTTAACAAGTACACATCAAATCTGAAAACTATTAGTAGACCATTGAAAATTTAAATTTTTCAAAATTAATCTATAGTTTTAATAATTAAAAAAACACCCTTAAAATTTTAAAGTTGCAAGAAATATCCTGACATTTAAAAAAATTACCATCGACACATGAAACATAGAAGTTACAACTACCAAACTTAAAAAAAACTATCCAAGACATAAAAATACGGGTCAAACATGCCCTTATACATAACTAAACAAATGAATACTGAAGAGATACAAAATACCTCGATCAAGCAAGAATGAAAAGAACTACAAAAGTAACTAGAACCATCAACTAATAAATGAAAAGAATAGGCTTCGACTCCTTCTTCTAATCCTCTGGCTCCTGCTAAACCTATTCTTTATCTAAGTCTGACGTACACCAGAGAAAACAAGTGTACGTCAGCGTGCATGGCACACAACAAGACCCCACAAAAGAAAATAGAACAAACGAAAACCAAAGCAGAAATCGATATGATAATAGAAATGACAAAAAGACGTGTAACTAAAAATTCAACAAAATCAATCAAGTAACAAATCGATTATGTAACTAGCGATCAGAATAATCATCCAACTAACAAGGTCATACAACTAGATGGAACTAATACTTAAAAATCTATATAACAAGAGACGTAGTACGTCGAGCGAAATAATCCAAATAAGGAAACACTCATGTATATACCATATGTCTCAAATTATAGATAATTAAATATTAATCCCGATCTATGTATGAAAAGGAAATAAAACTAGCCTACATCTCATAGGAATTCATACTTAACCAAGAATTGAGGTCATGTAACTAGCCATCCTAAAACTCACCGGTCCACATATCACATAAAGCCAACATTCATATCACCGGATAACTGACTGTTCACAAATCCTCTACGCGCATCTAATACCGCTACAAGAATCGGTCAGAGTACTACACACAATCTGATCTTGGTCTGTTCGAACTCAGGCAAAGCTCAGGTGACGAAACAGGTCACGGACTAAAGTGACTACACGAATTCACTTTAACCCAACAAACCAACCCCAGTGACTACACGAATTCACTGGCGCGAGCCTGGAAGATACATCAACAGTCACATCCAAGCACATGAACGTTAACTTCCTCATCCCAACTCTTCTTGTTTTTCTAAGTCAACCATAATCCTCATTGAAACTCGGGTTCACCACCTAAACTCAGTCAACACACTCACACATGTCACTAAGTCTATTCATGACTCACAAAGTCACTAAGTCACAAACTACTAATGGTTCTCAATCACAACAAGAGGTAATAAAAGCAAACATGTCAAATACATTAAAATAATCGCAAAACGTGAAATGTGATCATAAACAGTAAAAACATAAATGCAGTTTGGTTTCATCAATATCTTATTATCCAGCCATCTAAACTATTCATATAAAATCATAAATTACTTAAAATCCAAAATAGATAATTCTTTTACAAATAAATTCCTTTAGATCATCATAATTATAAAAATGATTCTTTTTCCAAAATAATTCCTTTTAAATTATTATAATTTTTCTAAATTATTCGGTTTCAAATAAATTCTTTTTAATTAATATAATTATCCAAAAAATGATTCCACAACTGAAATAAATTCTTTTAATTTATAATAATTATTCTAAAATAATATTTTCTCAAAATAGTTTTACAATTCAAATAATCCGTTTTTTCCAAAATAAATTATTTTAAATTATCTATTTAATAATTATTCAAAACCAACTCTTTTCTAAATAATCTCTTTTCTCATCATAATAATTCTAATTAATCTAGAAAACATTAACTTATCATTTGAAATCATTTAATATCATCATCAACAGTCACATGCTGATAATAACAAATCACAATTAAACTATGCAAATAATTCATAATAAAAGTAAATATTCAAACTACGAAACATGGAGAGCGGGATATTGCCTCGGGTTCGTGTCGAACGTATCGACGCTGGCGGCGCGGGTCGGATCCGACACGGGGGCACGGCGTCAGGAAGTGCTCCGGCGACGGGCGTGGAGTTCGGGGTGCATACATCGTCGGGGTGCGTTAGGTAGGGACAGCGACGTGGCAACGGGGAGCTCAGGGATGGCGCGGATGAGATGGCGACGTCGGAGGGCTGATCGGCGACGGGCTGAAGGAGGAGGAGCTCGAGGTTCTTGGACGTGATCAGTCGGGGTTGAGGGAGTGTGGTGACAGGATGTATGGAGGCTGATCTTGGGCGCGTCGGGGATTGTACTGCTGAACGCGGAAGGGGAGGAGGGCGTGGTCGCGGTCGGAGGTCGGGCAAAAGAGACGAAACACGGCCAAGGCGGTGGCTGGTGAGGCGAGGCGGGAGGAGGGTGGTGCTCATGGGTGGAGGCTAAGGGCAGGTGATGAGGGAAGGGGACCGAAGGGTTCTGGAAGCGGAGCTGGCGGTGGTCGAGGTGAGGAAGCGAGGACGAAGGAGGTGGAGGTGGTGATGAAGAGGTTTGGTCGAAGGTGGGCGTGGCCGTCGAGGTGGTGTGGCGTTGACGAAGAGAACGAAAGAGATTATGATGAATGGTGGTAGGGCGGAAAAGATCAGCGAGAAGAAAATGGGATGGGTTGATATATAATATTAATATATATATATTATATATATATATATATATATTATATATATATATTTTATATAACTATATATATAATTATATATATATTATATATCTATATAATATATACTATAATATATATATATATATATATATATTAGGGTTTGGGTTAGGGTTTAAAACAAAAATAAATTAAAATAAAATAATTATGGGTACTTAAAAATCAAAATAATTACGGAATAATTATCTACAAATAAAAATTACATGTTGTGCTAATACAATAGTTAATACGAAATAGTCAAAATATACATATATTGTACAATTAAACGAGAATAATTAATAATAAAAATATATTCACTTACATTTAAAATTAAATAATTATGGGATAATTATATACACAGTAAAACGTACCAGTTATACTAATACGATAGATAATATGTAATAGTAAAATAATAATAAAAATTATACAAATAATACGTAATTAATAATATAATGTATTATATAAAATATATGTAATAATAATAATACCACATATTATTATTAATGATACATAATAGTATCGGTAACACAACGGATAAATTCCAAAAAAATTTACTACACTAAATAAATTTATGAATATTTAAATTATTTAAATAAATATAAAACTTAGACTTTAAATTATAGAAATTCAAGAAAAATATAAATACTCTTTTAAAAATTATAATTAAACATTTTAAAATACAAAAAAATT